GTTCGGGAAACTACGGGTTATCTCCTAAAAGAAGTGTTTTTTATTATGTTTGCGATTTCAACCGCACTAGAGACTATGACCTGAGAGTGAATGCGTCGCATGTCACCCAAAGGGTACCATACTAAACATCCATCCTCAGATGGCTTAAGGCTCGTAACGTACGAAAGAAATCATTCATGATTACTGTATTTTAAACTGCTTCGAGATGAGAAGAGAGCAGGCCCAACTAGGAGGGAGACTATCAAGTCCTACTGTTATCATGCCATGGATTCATCCTATGGTTGAGGTTTGAACAGGGAACTCCTAGATGTTGTCATGCATAGGTTTCAACCTAAAAGTCTATCATCAAATCCTCATCAGAAGAAATGAGAGTCCTAAGGGATCATGTCAATGATACACCAAAACAGACAAAAGCATCAGCTTTAACAGTAAAATGCATGCAATGCAAGTGAGGGAGGAAATGTGTGTGGGGCTTCAGCCTCCACAAGCTCATCTCAACCTCAAGCCAGTCATGAAATAACAGTAATCATATTGAAGGGTAAACAACATGCTATCAAGCAATATACAGATAAAAGAAATGAAGCTGCCATCAGGCAAACAAAACACATGCTTGAGAAAGAATCATCTACTCTCTAATCCTAACCCTAACACAGAATCCTGATCAAATCTGAGCAAAGCCCTAAAGCAAACCTAACCAAAAGAAATCAATCCTAGTCTTCATGCTTCAGAACAAGCTTACCAAAGAAAGGGAGCTAAGTAAGCAGACTCATAGTGTCTTCCTCAGGAAAGCACTAGGAGGTGTATACTCAGGAATCATATCCTATGTGGCTCAACCACTGTGATCAGTTTACATTCCTCCTCAGGAGAAATTAAACTCACAAGCAGGCTCCAACATCACTGGATACTTAGGAAATCCTATCTGAACTAGTGGAACTAAATGAACAGACTCATAGGACCTTCCTCAGGAAAGTACTAGGAGGCTTCCACTTAGGAGTTGTATCCTATGTGGCTCAACAACTGTGATCAGTTTACATTCCTCCTCAGGAGAAACTAAACTCACAAGTTGGCTCCAACATCATTGGATACTTGAGAAATCCTAGATAAACTAATGGAACTAAGTGAATAGACCCATAGAACCTTCCTCAGGAAAGTACTAGGAGGCTTCCACTTAGGAATTGTATCCCATGTGGCTCAACAACATGTGATCAGTTTACATTCCTCCTCAAGAGAAATTAAACTCACAAGTTGACTCCAACATCGTTGGATACTTGAGAAAGAGGTGAGAAGAAAGAATGAAAGTCATTCATAGTGCCTTCCTCAGGAAAGTACCATGAACTTCCTTCAAACCCCAGGATCTCAAACCTCACAGACAGGGAACAAGCCAAGCTCTGGGTCTCTGAGTCTTGGTCTACAATCTTCTCTTCCATCATGCTCCTCAACAAGATCTTCAAAACAACACAAGCCCCACAACAAACTCCCAAACATAAACCCCAGAGATGAACAGATAACCACAGGGCAGACAAAATCATCAGCTAACTTCAGAAAATACCTAAAAATACTAAAACAAGAGGGAAAAATCTATCAATTATTCACAAGGGTCTACAACATCTACCCCTAACATCCACATATGCCTCTACCCAAAAATCAAGACAAAACTATCTGAAGAAAATGAATTTCCTCACCTATGCACAACCTAAACCCTAATTAGGATACCCTAATGCTAACCTAATTAATCTAATCAAATTTTAATCTAAAAATCAAGAATTAAATCCTATGGGGAACTATGATTCAATATCTAATTACACAAAAAAGAATGAATTAAAAATCCTAAGGGAAAGCCCTAAAAGAAATTCTACAAAATTGGATATCAAACTAAACATATTAAAAAGCTATTAAAATGAAAAATATACTAAAAATATGAAAAGAAAATAAAATGGAAATTTTATTTATTTATATTTTTCTAGACAAATTCATTAACCTATAGAAAAAATAAGAATTAATTAAAAAAATATTCATTTTCTATTTTTTTATGGATTTTTAAAGTGCAAGAAAATATAAAGGAATTAAAAAAATGAAAGAAATTGAATTAAAGGGGAGGGGGGTGAGAACAGCAAAACGCTTAGTTCAATCTCTATGATGGGCCCAGGAAGGGGGGTGCGCCTAGCAGGGCGCGCCTGGGCCCAATTGCTACCAGAAACCAACTGAAAAATATAAAGAAAAATAGGCAGACCAACGGTGTAAATAGCAAGGGTTTTCAGGGTTATTCTGAGATGGGCTCGCTGGTGGGGGTGTCAATAGCAATGGGATTAAGCCCAACCCACATCCCTTCAGAAATCTCACGCAAAAAAGGGGGGATACGAGCATAATGGGGGTATGCGTTCAGCAAAACGAACTTGGGCCCAAACGCTGCCCAAACCCTAGCCCAAATAACCAAATAATCAAAACCTAAATTTCCTTCCCCAACTCTGAACACTGTTCATCAAACCCTAACCGTCTTCGTCTGCAACTCCAACTCTCTCTTCAATTCCTCACCCAACCCTCACGCATCATCAACCAAATCCCAGAAACACAAAACCCTATTCAGAAAACCTTCTTCCTCACCTCAACAACACCACCCACGAAACTCAAACCCTAAACGATAACCCTAAAATCAATGAGAAACAAACAGCAATGGAGGTGGTGAAAAGGAAACGCACCTGGAATAACGCAGCTGAGACAATGAGGTTTACGAAGTTCCTCGAAGGATGAGTTTGAAGAGCAACAATCTTTCTGGGAAAAAACTGAGGAAGACGAAGACCTTGGAAGCGCATGGATGATTTGGAGGGATGTCCTTAAGACGCAGTTGAAGAAATCTTGAAGATCCTGGGAGTATTGCGAAAGATTTACTTGAACGATCTGGAGAAGAGGATGGAAGGTCTTTCTGGGAAAACTGGAAATCGATTGAAGGCGTTGAAGGTCGCCGGAAAGATCCTTGAAGAACGATGAAGGTGAATGTGTTCTGGGCAATTGTTCTTGAGGAAAGATGAAGACGGACGGTGATCTGGGCAATTGTTCTTGAGAAAAGATGAAGACGGACGGTGATCTGGGCAAGATGATGAAGTTTCCGGCGAAATGGTTGAGTTCTCCGGCGAGTGGTGATGAAGGTGGATGGAGGAAGATCGGAGAAGAACTGAAGGTTTCTGGAAATTCTGGACAGAAAGTTAGCTCCGGCGATGGTCGCGGTGGTCCGGTGACAGTTGGGGCTGCCGGCGGTGTGAGTTCAGGGCGGATGCATGGCCGCCAGTGGCTCTTCCGGCGATGGGTGCAGTGGAGACAAGTGTCTCAGTGGAGATCCTGCATGCAGGACGCGTGGCGTGCGAGGAGAGAGAGTGGAGAGGTAGTGGGGTCCACGTGTGGCAGAGTGAGGGAGTTCTGAGGTGTGAGGTGGGGCCTTGCGCTTTGCACGCGTGGCGTGTTTTATATAGTGACAAATGTCCCTTCTGGCCAAAAATTGAACAAAAACTGCAATGGGCTTCCCACCTGTGTATCTGGGCCCACGAAATTGACACTAGCTGGACCAAAAAGCTGATTAAACAAACCATTAAACCTAATTAAAACTAATTGACTAATGATGACCTAATTAAACCCATTAAAACTAAGCCTAATAAACTCAAATGAACTCTGAACTAAGGATTAAATTCTAACTAGAATTAAACTGTAATTAAATCTAAATGCCAATTAACTACCCTAATTAATTCTAACAAATTCAATTAAATCCTAAACAAAAGATTAAATCCTAATTAACCTAAAAATGATTAAAATCTAATTAAACCTATATTAATAAAACTTCTACTAATTTCTATAAAATTCCTATTAAAATTTAAAAAGCTATTAAAATCCTATTTAAAATCTACCACTTATTTAAAATTCTATTAAAATCTATTATTAATACAAGAAAAAACTATACTTCCCTATATTATCTAAAAACAATTAAAAGCAACTTTAAAATCTATTATATTCTAAAAAATGATTTAAAAACTATTAAACCAATTAAAAACCTATTTAAAAAATCTATAAAATTCTAAAAATGATATAAAGCTCTAGAAAAAAGACCTAAACTATTTTAAAAAAAGTTTAAAAATCTATTTAAATCCTAAAAATGATTAAAAGCCTATTTAAAATCCACAAAAGTCTATTAGACCCTAAAAAATGCAGACAGAGGCCAATAACCAACATAACAGAGCGTGCGACCAGCTCAAATCAACCAGTAAACCCCTGGCATCAGAATATCTCGAAAACCACCATGCAGACTGAAAATCCCGAGAAGCGCACAATTTCCCGAAATAAAACCCTGATGACCTAGACGGGATCTGAAATATCTGATAAATGAAACCCAAACTGTAACTCTGATATCCTCTGTCTGTGCACAAATGTCATGCATCTGATGCGAACATGAATTTAAATCACGAGCCAGCTAGGAGAATCGGTTGGTCAAATTTTGGGGTGCAACAAGGAGCAAACAGATTCTTCTGTAAGGTGCATCTGGCGCTTCAGAGTCAGAATAACTTCTTGTATTCAAGGCAGATTTGCTTCTAGAGAGTTAATATAATTTCAATCTGCAGTAAACCTCTCAAACAAATTTTAGAGTATATAATTCTTAAATATAAATTTCCTAATAGTTATCATCAAAACAAAGAGTAATTATTAAGAACCAATCTGTGTTCTAACAATATCATATTCAAAAGCGAGTTGTATTTCGAAGCAGTACCAGGGTATAATCGGGATAATCCCACAATGTTGTTTTCTACTCATGCCATAAGTCAGGACCATCTTCCATTTTCACTCTCTCATTGCTTTCACATGTGTTCCCAAGTCTCCTAGTTAGATAGAAGCACAAGGTTATAGGCAAAAACTAAATGTGAAAAACTTGTTATTTGCTGAAACTTCTTGTCACCTTTGATTGCTGTGAATATCACTATCTATATATCTATATTTCTGCAAGAACTCAGTAACAGTTCAACATGCCTCTGAGGCAAATGAAAGAGAGTTCAGAACAATACCTTGTGATCAAACCTCATCTTCCAAACACTATGAATCAGGCTAAGAAGGTTACTAAAGTTGTTCAAAATGGTAAAGGTCCACCACTGTTGTCACAAGATCTGCTTAACCAAACTTCACCACCTCAAGGAAGGAATGGTGGTGGAAGGAGAGGGAGTAGAAATGGAAGAAAAACTGATCAAGTTGACGTTTTGATGAGACCGAGTTGTAGGCCTTGTACTGCTGTGAAAAGTAATGAAAATGGTCATGTTCAAAATTGAAGCGTAATCTCTAGGGATGTAGAGATGAGTTTTCCTACTTCAAGCAAGTCTTTGATTTCTGCTCAAAGGCCTGGTTTTGGACAAGTTGGTACAAAATGCATTGTTAAAGCTAACCACTTCTTTGCAGAATTGCCAGAAAAGGACTTAAATCAGTATGATGTAACTATTACACCAGAAGTGTCTTCCAAAGCGGTTAACAGATCCATTATAGCAGAACTTGTGAGGCTGTATAAAGAATCAGACCTCGGCACGAGGCTTCCAGCATATGATGGCAAGAAAAGTCTCTGCACAGCAGGGGTTCTTCCCTTTTCATGGAGAGAGTTTAAGCTTGAGCTCATAGAAGAAGAGGATGGAATTAATGGCCCCAAGAGGGAAAGAGAATACAAAGTGGTGATCAAGTTTGTTGCAAGGGCTAACTTGCATCACCTGGGACAGTTTCTGGCCAGAAAGCGCGCAGATGCTCCACAGGAAGCGATACAAATTCTTGACATTGTACTAAGAGAGCTAGCATCCAAGAGGTTTTGTCCAATTGGGAGGTCGTTTTATTCACCTGATATTAGAACACCACAACGAATCGGAGAAGGATTGGAGTCATGGTGTGGATTTTACCAAAGCATAAACCTACTCAGATGGGCCTTTCCCTCAATATCACCATTAATAGACATACACTTCAAATGTGACAAAACTTCTCCCACTGCCGTAGCTAGCTTCAACTTTCCGCCGCGGATACGTTCATATAATCAGCTCAGTGCCGCAAGCTCTATTGGTTACGCAGCACATAAATGTTCTCACCAACAACTCCTAACTCAGCATCCGCATTTTTCAATATGCCGAACCTACAGCCTGTTGCAAACCTGTGATACAAGAACCGACCGCTGTAAAACTACATAACCCAGACTTTATGCATCCTGCTACAACACATACACCTCCAGAAATTCTACACACATGAGTCCCTCCAGATAACCACTCTGCAAGATATCAAACAGGTTCTATATAGTAGGAAGAAAAATCCATAAGATTCCAACCAACACAAGCAACAATGCCATGCTCACCCGTGTAGAAGCCATGAACAAACTCAACCTCAACACCTTCCTCTCAAACCAATAACCTTCCAACAACTTTCTTTTCAAATCCTTCAACCCCAAACAGAAAATACTTTTCATCAGAACCACCACATCCTGTATCAACCTCACTTTTCAACCCTCAAACTTAGATCATAAACCTGTTATCCATTTTTTCCCCTCCAACAATACTTTAACCTCACCCTCTTCTTTTCCTTTTCTTGAATCTCAATAACAACTGAATTCATATGCTAGCTCATCAATGATGATCCAAACCAACAAATAACCAAAACATTCACCTTGGAATCTTAATGAAAAATCTGCCACTTTTCTCTTCCAACCATATCAACTCCAATAAAGCTTCCAACATCCTCAATTTTCGTCTCACTCTAAATTCTCCTGCACCAGCCAAACCTGGACATTGCTCACTGCATCATCCAACCTCCAACTGTAACCTTCATACATAACCTCCACACAAACTTTTCCTTGAAATAACAAGCAGCCACAAACCACCTACATTCTTATAACTCTCACCAGATTCACAAACAGGTTCACCATATCAGCCACTAGGTTATGGAAGTGTTAAACTTGTTTTGAGACGTCGAAAGCTGCGTAAGAGGTTGAGAAGTTTGAAGATTTACCTCCGGCTTCATTTGAAGTTTGATTCACAACAACATATTGTTTCCCTACCACCACCTTTACAACACCATTGAAAAACCATGATAATGGTCAGGTAAACACCATTGAGTTCTAATTAAACACTTGTCTACGCGTTTACATTTTGATTCAGCCCCATTTCGGTTTCCTAGCAATAGCAGCAACCCAACAACGTTCTACCTGTCCAAACCTTCAAACCAACATTCCTCCTCAACCTTTCCTCACGTCGTCATCCTTGTTCCTCATAAACACCATATTTCTCACTCACTATCAGAACATGAGATATGAGTATACCCTGCAACAACCAAATGAATATCAGGTTATTAACCAAGCTTCAAGAGTTCTTGACAGTAAATAGTCATACTACTGCACAGTAAAAATTCAAAAATTCATGGTAAAAGGGTATCTTTTCGCAGTAAAAGTATGAATAGGACAAACATTCCCAAAAAAGAGTTAACAAACAAGGAATGACCAAAAGGCATTCTGAAATCATGCTTCTTTTTCACCCAGAGGTTTTGAAAGAGAAAAACCCTAATCCTAATCAGTCTATATATGAGCGCTTTGTTTATTCAAAAGGGGGCGGAAAAAAATTGAAGAAGAAAGAACCCTAAAAATATTTTTGCGGCGGAACCCTAGAAACAATCAGAAAGAAGAAGACTCTTACCCAAACGGAGGTTCGACCGAAGTGACAGAAGGATTGCGGAAGGGCTTGTTTCAACACCAACAGAGGCAACATCACCGGAATCTTCCATCAGGTATCAACTTTTACCACCTTGTTTGTAACTCCATTAAATCCTTTGAGGCTTTTTTGTGCATCGCTTCTATTTGTCTGTAGATTTGAGTTTCAATCGGTGAAATTCATGTTTATTGTGTAGCGGATTTAGTTTTAGATTGAGGAAATAGGGTTAGGGATTTGGGGACGGAATCCATGATTCTGTTTTGAAAGGGAGTCGTAGAGAGTCTCAGAGAGAGAGACGAAGGCTTGGAGAGTGAGATAAGATTTCTGCAGTTTTTTGTTTTGAGTTTCAAGGGGAATCGCGATGGTGATGGAGTTCCCCATGTGAGCGTTGGCTTTCCAAGAGTTCTTTGGACGGTTTGTTGTTTCCCAGGGCATCCCGTGTGTGTCCTCTTTGGGCTTCACGTACAGCCTTTGATTCTGGGCCTTTGGATGAAAGATGTTTGGCTTACAGTTTGGATCAACGATCCTTGTGCGTCGGTTTGTCAATGGTTTGACCGAGGGTTCACCGTGAACCCTCCCTCTCCTCCGTGTGGGCTGTTCTTTTGGGCCCGGGAGTGTTCTGTTTGCACCCCTATTTTGCTTACAGAACAGGCCCATTTTGTTTTGTTTTTTTTTACTAATGTTATTTTTATTTTAGCCAATATATTTTATAAAAAAACAAAAATCCTTCAAAATAACTTTATTTGTTTTCTGTTAAAAGAATTCTGAGTTACTATTAATTTGGTTAATTTTATTAAAACTTTTTATTTAATAATAATTAATTTATTTAATATTATTAAATAATTAATTTTAATTTGATTAATTTGTTTTAAAGTAGCTTTCTCTTTTAAATTTTAAGGCAACAAAAGGTACCTAATTTTTATTTTAAAAAAATTCTATTTAATTCATAATTTATCTTTTCTTTAAATTTCTAGAATAATCTGAATTTTTTAATCCTTTTATTTTACTAATTAGGTTATTATTTAAATTGGCATGCCTTGATTAAGCATATCCTTTTATTTAATTTACGACTTTTTGTGTGATGTTTGTGTATGTTTTATACTTCAATTACATTTATGTTGTTTACATGCTCAAACCAAGTATTTTCAAACTAATATCTCGACTTAATGTCAAGCCCATTTTCATATACCATTGTAAGCCGATCGTTTTTTACGATCGCCATCGACCTTATAGCCTCCTATTGGGCTTTGTACAACGATGCTTGCTACACACTTTACGTATAAAATTAAAATCTAATTCTTTTCCAAACTTGATCCAACATCAAGTATCTCAAAACAAGTGTAATTAATCATCAACTTTCATTAGCACTTAATCTTATCAAATCCTCCCATCCTTGTAAGCCGGGTGCTTTGACCTCGCCATCAACCTTACCCTATACCGTAGGGCCTCCTATCCTTTAATCCCACTTTGCTCTTTCCACACGTAAAATTCAAACCTTGATTCATATCAAGCAATTTTCTTTAAGTCAAACTAAAATACTTAATAACTATTTAAACACAATGTTAATATTAGATGAAAAAGAGAGAGTCCCAAGTCTTTGGGTCTCTCTCCCAATTGTTTGGGTCCGAGGAGTCTTTCTTAAGCCCGAGCAATTGTCTTCTAAAAAACCCTTCTAAAAACGATAAATTTATTCGAGCCTATTTTTCTAAACACTTAGATGAAAAAGGGAGTGTTCTAAGTCTTTGGTTCACTCTCCCGATTATTTAAAGTTCGAGGAGTCTTTCTTGAGCTTTGAGTAATCGTCATCCAATTAATACACTCTAATCTTATTAAACATCTTTCATAATATTAGATGAGAAGAGGAGAGAGCTCCAAGTCTTTGGTTCACTCTCCTGATTACTTGAGGTCCGAGAAGTCTTTCTTAAGCTTCGAGTAATCCTCATCTGTTAAAATATTTTAACCACCTCCTATCTTTCAAGCGTCATTCAAACAATTCCTTTCGTGATGAAAAAGAAAGTGTTCCAAGTCTTTGGTTCGCTTTCTCGATTACTTGGGTCCGAGAAGTCTTTCTCAAGCTTCGAGTAATCGTCATCCGATTCACTCACTCGTATCCAATTCCATTAACACTTAGATGAAAAAGAGAGAGCTCCAAGTCGTTGGTTCGCTTTCCCGATTACTTGGGGACCGGGGAGTCTTTCTCGAGCTTCGAGTAATCGTCATCCGATTAACCCACTCGAACCACATCTTATCCTTTTGCAATTGAGGTTGAAAAAGAGAGAGTTTCAAGTTTTTGGTTCACTCTCCCGATTACTTGGGTCCGAGAAGTCTTTCTTAAGCTTCAGGTAATCGTCACCTCCAGCTAAACATCCAATACATCTAACCAATCTAATTCCTCGCCCCCGTGCGACCACAACCCTAAAACCTATTCAAATATATCCTCTCTTATAAACCAAATACTTAACCAATCAAACTCTACTCGCCCTCGTGCGATCTACAATTCAAACAACTCTTACCAAGAACATTGTTTTGTCCCTTCCTCCGCGCATAACAAACTAGTGCTTCAGCCTCCCCTAGCGAGCAGACAAGCCAACGTTTAGCAGTTA